TTGCCCTTGATAAAGGAGGAACCATACATTATTATGTCTATTTTATCTGTCATTAATCTTAGGTAATTGTTCTTTTCCTCAGGGTGACCTTATATTATGAAACGGTGCAAAAATCGAAAAATAATTACAAAAAAGTTCGAAGAAAAGCTGCTCCCACCAAAATTGCGATACAGGGGTTATTCGTAGTGGGGAATCATTTGGTGATAGTGGAAAAATCACCAGTTGGCTGCTGGTCCCGGAAATGCAATATTTTAGGGTGACCTTATAGTTATGAAACGCACTGTATAGGAGGATCTAGAAACGACCTACTAGGCACGCAAAACTACCGCACATCCGGCTTATTCTTTACGGAGAAACGAACGTCTTATTTTGTGAAAACGTCTGATATCATTCTGAGGGCCACGAAATTCACCAGCCTATGAACCAGGGTCAACCGTCCGTTCGAACTGTTCGAACGAAGGGGTCGCATTTTGGTCGGAAGGGGGTCGCAATTTCGAGGACTGCCAGCCACAGGCGCGTGCGTGGCGTATCCGAGGGCAAGAATTGTTTGTGCAGACCGCATTAGATTCGATTAATTATGCACAGAGAGACAGTTTTAGGCAAATTACGGTGTTTTCCTTGAGGAATAAAGAACAGTTGAATGCATCCCTATGAAAGGTTTGACTTCTCGGGGCTGAAATTAAAGTTCTTCGGGACCTAATTTTCTGAGGACGATTCTTCCAGACAACGGTAAAACACATAAGAAAGCAGAAATCTCGTAGTCTTCAAAAATGTCTTCGCCCCTCCCCAACAAGTTCTTTGAAGGAAGTTATTATTGCTGAAAGCTCAAAAACTCGCATGTGCTGCTCAAAAACCTATGGGAACAAAATGTTCGAACGTGTGATTTTCTCGAAAAATGAACTTTGAAAAACGGTTTGGTGCTTGTTAGAAAGAGCAAATCCTGTACTTTCACCCCATGAAAAAAGTGCATCACAGAAATGAAAATGAAGTGAGTTATGGTCGCTGAAAGCCCAAAAACTCGCTTTTGCACGAAAAATGTTCGAACGGGACAATTTTTTGAAAAAGGGGACAATCACTAAACTTTTTATACTGTTTTGTTAGAGAAATATTTGAAGTTTCTGAAACTTTTACAGATTTCCAAAATGTCGCATACGAAAGATTTTATGGGCCTTCAAAGTTGAAGGTGCGCCTTCTTAGAATTTTGGGTTTTCCACTTCTAACAGAAGTACTTTCCGGAGAGTTAGGCAATCCTTGTAGTTTTCTGAAAGCGCACCTCAGGCACAATCAAAATCTACCTCAACAAGTCAAAAAATACGTCCCAAGAAAGTTATTCCCCTCTAAAATTTTTTCTTCGCCGCGTCCCGTTCTTCCAGCGCCCGGGTGATACCTGCCGCGCTCCAAGGCCGACGCGACGACGCGCAGACGCTTTCTGGCGCAACGGATTCATGTCTAGCACTCTTATTAACAAAAACAGGGGGTCGCAACTGGACCCCCTCGAGAGCTAGGGGGTCGCAAAAATCCCGAACGTGACGGTTGACCCTGCTATG